AGTCTAAAGAAATTGTATCATTCAACTTTCATTCTTTATGTGATTACATAACTATAATGAATGATCTTTTATTGAATTGATTTATTATATGATTCGATTGAATATCAGTCAATGAAATTCAATCACCCATCAAAATGGATTTCATAAACAGTTGTATTGTTATCTATTATAAATCAATGTAACACATTGACAGAAATACAATAACTGACTGTCATAAGTATTAACACTTGAATTCTCATGAGAGATTTTTTTTCTATGATATTGAATGAGATCAGATTATTGAAATGAACTGGGGTTATTCAAATAGATAAATAGACAAGGGTAATCAAGTATAGAACTTGATAAAAAAGAAAACAGTTTTACATCAATTGAGTTTATCATAGTTTAAAAGATGAAAATGAATGAAAATTTGAAGAAAAGAAACATGGGCGAGATTATAATTTATAAATGAACCAATCAGATATAAACAAAGAGGGATAGTGGTTAGTAGTGGAATCTAGTTTGATGCACTTTTCGTCCTATTTAGGACTCTTCAGATGAATGTACCTGCTTCTCAGAGTTGATGTTCACTCTAGAATTCGAACTCAGTGCCGTTCACTTCAAACGCCATCACGTTATCCACTTAGCTACAAAGTTCTGATAGCTACCTGCTTGTGTGATTGGATGAATTATAAATTCACTTGGTATTGCTTACTTGAATCTTCCCATTGTTGTTTAGGACTACAATTGATCAGTCTTTTGTTGACATTGTTGGTTTGATACTTCCTATTGATATTTATAACTGCAATTGATCTGTTAAGTGGATAACATGATGACGTTTGAAGCGAATGGAACTGAGTTCGAGTTCTAGAGTGAACATCAACTCTGAGATGCAGATACATCTATCTGACCAGTTCAGAATAGGACGAAACACGCGTCAAACTGGATTCCACTACTAACCACTATCCATCTTTGCTTATAAAGTTATGATGACTTACAATATGTTAGGAAGAAAGTTAATTAAACTACAATTTATTTCTATAAATTTATAAATGATATATATATCGCCAAATGTATTTATAAATTTAGGTGTACCTGCCAAATCAGCTACATTGATCGAACAGATAGGAGAGCATATCTTATATTTTTTGAACATGTTCTAAAAAGTCTTAGAACAAGGGAAAGAAAGACTCTAAACAGTACAATCATCAAACATCTCCTTGATACAGAACATCAGGTAGATACCTTGCATTCCTTTAAAGTGATATATAAAGAGTTTCCATTAAATGATTTACCTATAGGATATTGAAAATTAAATATTCACTTTTGTTTTGTTTTTTTCAACAGTTTCTAGGTCATTTCCGTTTTTGTAATTCGAATGAAGGTTAAAACATTTATATTAGGGGTATATATATTCTTATTATGTAAGATCAGTGTTGAATAAAGTTGAATAGAATAACTTAATGTTCCGGTAACAAATTCTGTAAATAAGTTTGGTTAACAATCGTTTGTTTTTTAGTTATGTTAAGCATATAATGAAAATTATTAGAAAGAATTACTTTACAATTATATATTGTAGATATAGAATGGTTTGTTATGTGATGTGTATTTACATTAGATTAGATTCAGGATATTTCAGTTTTCGTAGTAAAGGAGATACATTAATTTATGACTCCTGGATCTCAGCCAGAGGGCCGGTGTTCAACTCTCGAGGTTGCATCGTTTGCCCCCAAATGCCCTGGTACGGCCAAGAGTGGGGAACGTTAGCTCTCCCTCTCGAAATACTCTCACATAGCCACGCGTATATAGCCACTGTCAAGGAAGTCCTACTTATTGCCTTGTGGCAGAGGTATTCTTTATGTCATTGGGAGGATGAAAATCAAATATCCGGCTCTTTAACCTGGTTAGAGGTATGGAGTATCAACCTAGGAGAGTTGAAAAACCCTTATTCCAAACCAATGGTTCACATGGGCTCCAGGATTTTGAGGAAACAAATGGTGTATGAACCAATTATTGATCACCGTCTAACATGAGACTGCATCTCCTGACGTTGCCTTACTGCCTTGTGGATTAGACCTTCAGGTCGAAGGCTGCAGGTGTGGCCCCACAAGAATGCCATCTTCTTCGGTTTCGGCACCCGGGTAGTGTCACAGCCCACACATATATCAAGTGACTTGTGTGTCGCATATGTATTCAGTGCCCCTTTGTACCAATAATTATGTGTTCAAATAAATAACTAAAATAAATATTAACTTAACATGACTCCAGCCCCGAGATAAGTAGTCGAAATACAACAGTTTCTTATAAAATATTTCTTTACACAGCTATTAGTAGTGATATCAATAAGCATATGATGAAAGTTAGTCTTTTAGATCGAATTTATATAGGAAATTTGAATATTTTATCATAATTTATAATGAAAACTAGTAATGAAATCATAGCAACGTGTTTCGTCTAGTCTAAGCTTCTTCAGAATAATAATACTCGTATTCCATTTTTTGATACATATTCAATAACTATTACTTATATTGTCAGAATGTTATCCATTAGATTAATGAGTCCAGATAACTACTAAATTATTCAATGTGGACAGTGTTCCTTTTTTCATTGTAAAGATTTGTATCTTCAATAGATCAAATTTAGTTATTTATACTAATGATAAGGAGTTACAAACCATTAGTAAGAATATTTTAAATGTGAAACTTAAAAAAATTTCTGTACTACATAATAGATAATAAATTCATTTAGTTATCTGTCATATTAAATGTCGTCTCAATGAATTATGAATTTTCACTGATTGAAATCATGAATCAATTGAAGCTAGACCACCATGGGAAACCCGGAAGAACTGGATGGTCGTTTCGTCCTAGTATGGGTTTCCTCGACAGTGCGAGTCCACGATCCCGCACCCCACCGCGAGATTCGAACCCAGAACCTATCAGTCTCGCGCCAGGTGCTTCAACTGATTCATGATTTCAATCAGTGAAATTTCTCAAATCTCCACAAAACCCCTTCTGAATTACAAATTGTTAATTGAAATCATGAAACCATGAATGTTAGACCAACATCATTAAAAACTTGAAAGCATCGGACATCTGTTTCGTTCTAGTATAAGACTCTTCAATGCTTCCAAGTTTTTAATGATCGTCAACTATTCATCAATTCATGATTTCAATCAAAAACTTAACAATAATCTCTATAACCCTACAATAAAGTATGAATTGTTGAAAATTAATCAACAAACTATTGAGTAGTAACGTGGACAATGTACACTGAAAATGTCGAAATGAAATTTACAATCAAATCAATATGACGTAACCACTGATCAATATTGTTTAAGTAAACAATGCATGATATAGAGAATATTAGTTTCTAAGACATTAATACACTGGTATACACATTCAGTAAGATATAAATGGAGAGAGATCTTTAAGAAGAAAAAACACTACGGGCCTTTGTTAACATGCATTATGCTTATGATTCCCAGTCTATAACATTGATATGTTGACAAAATATTCTATAAACAATGATTTATTTTCATATTGAAATCATAGATAAGTCGAAAACTATACTCTTACGACAAGGAATATCATTTAATCATATTAAAATGTCAATTTGTCTGTAACTGTAAGACTACTGATATCATACTTATAAGCTATCATTAAATAGGTTACATATAGAAACAAAAATTCTGGTCTTTTTTAAAAAAAAGATTTAGACACATTATTTGAAGGAAAGATGGATAATGGCTAGCAGTGGAATCCAGCTTGACGCGCGTTTCGTCCTATTTGGGTCGTGTCAAGTGGATGTACCAGCACCCCACAGTTTATTTTCACTCCGGGACTCGAACTCAGCACCATTCGCTTCAAATGCCATCACATTCTCCACTTAGCTACTGAGTCATGATAGCTACCTGCTTGTGCAATCCATCTTTACTTAAAAAACTTGTGACTTAAAGTTTTATCGAGGCAATCTGCACAGGATGCACATATGCCAACATGAGACTGATCAGTTGCAGTCCTGAGTAACAATGAGGAGATGAAAGTAAAACAACACCAACTGAATATAAATTATTTGATACTTAATATGTAACTCAAATCTATCTGATGTAAGCATCGTACTGTTAAGTGTATATTGTAAAAATGTTTCTAATGCAGATGTAATTATTGTAAAATACTGCGTAATTTATGCTATTCCAAAAACTTCAGCAGCTTCACAGATGTTCTTCATCGATTTATTACAATGTAGACAAGTTTTATACTTATCTAAACCTTAATACTAATCAAATCATATTAGTCAACTTGAAATGTGACCACTGTTCTCAGTAACTTTGGATTGTGTGAACTGTATTTCTATATTACATGATTTAAGGAAATCAATAAGCCTGAGACTATGTTTCTTGTTAGCTAATATTTGTTAACATTATTGAGTAGACTACTACATTTTATGTGATTTACAACTGAATTATTCATTGACATTAAAAGACATTTTAAATAGATGACTTGATTTCAACAAATTAACCTGGAAGCACTGGACGGCATACTACTAAGGAGTCCCATACTAGGACCAAACGGCCGTCCAATGCTTCCAGGTTTTTCATGGTAATCTAGCTTCAATAGACTCATGAATTCATATATTAAATTATTATAGCCAAACATTTACGTATGAAATTTTTGTTTTTTCTAATCATAAGAAAATATCTCCTTTACAAATATACTACTCTTGCTAAATTGAAAAAGAGTATTCCACATCATAAATCTATAGTAAACTAATTTAATAATTCAATTCATGAGTCAATTAAAGCTAAGCCACCATAAAAAACCTGAAAGTGCTGAACGGCCAAATCGTCCTAGTATAGAACTCCTCACTGGTGCACATCTACGATCCCGCCTCGCGTGATTCGAACCCAGGACCTATCAGTCTCATGTACGTAAACACTTAACCTCTAGACTATTTAAGTTAAAATCCAATAGTGTTAATGTCTAACATTAAATCAATAAACAAAACATAATAAAACTTACACATAAGTACCATAAATTGACTAATTCTCACTTCTACTTCACCATAATCTAAATTTATATTTAAATCAACATCCATTTTAGATAATGTCTCATTCATTGATGATGATATGTTAGATGTATTTTGTGGTATAACATGGAACATCGTCGATAATGTTGTGAATAATGTTACTAATTCATATTGTTCAATATTACTTGTAGTTTGTTAGGAATCAATATTTTACTAATTATGTTAAATTATACTGATTACTTTAATATTACTCAAATGATATATGCCTTCATTAAATAAAACCGGACGTATTGAAATACTCAAGTAACAAAGATCCATTCAATTAAAAGAAGAAGAAGAAGAAAAAACGATCCAAGATGAAGTCAAATCAAGTCGGGTCAAGTCAACAAATGATAATCATATTGGTTAGTCTCGTGTTTTATTCTCTTTTTTTTAATGTTTTTATCTTCTTTCCTTGTTTTTCTATTTGTTAATGATAATTTGTATGTTGTTGTATGTTGTCTACTCTTAGTTCAATCGTAAATCGTTACTAGGAGTAATAATAATAATAAATCTCAAAGAAGGTATCACACTGATTCATAACAATAGCGTTAGTGATTACAAATGAGATATATTACAGGTATGAGAGGAGGATAGTTAACTCGTACACTTCTTTTTTTAGTCTTTTGCCATTAACAACAACAACAAAAAAGAATGTCAAGAATATGTAAACAACATCAAATTGACACATTTATCAAGAATATTCACATTCTTCACTTTATCGGTTCTCATTCGATATAAATCTATAAATCACTATCTACATTCTCAAATGAATTGGCATGGGGGATGGGTGGGGTGAAGGAAACGGAAGGAATGTGGGCAGTTATACATAGGTAAATACACTTATAGCTAACAATACCATTAATATTGACTAAATCATAGGAGAATTATTTCTTTTTATTACTAGGATATATATATTGCGATGAGTATTTATATACACACAAACAGCATGCAGTTTATTTTGTTTAAATGGGTTTTCATGTTTATGGCTTATAAATGCACACGTACACACACACACACGTACAACAGAGATATTTATGTAAACAATTACACACACTCACTTATATATGAGTGCACAATAGTGCCTACCAATAAGCAAGTGATAAACCGTTTTAATTGCTATCTCAAATTGTTAACTCAGTGTTATTCTTACATTTGGTAAGAGATCATATAAATTAGGTGAAATGTATAGACAGGTAAATGATATTGTCCTCTTCATTTGTTGTATTAAGTAAATAACACTAATGATAATATAGTTATTTGATTGGTAAAGTTTATATCATTGAATTGATATATGTGTGGATAGATCATAAAAAAGAGATAAGTTATTGTATATACTACCAAAAATGTCGTTTATAGAATAGACTACTGTTTATTGTATTCGAAAAAAAAAACAAGTTTCTTTGATTATAAATACTTAGAAATAGTGTTGTTTTACATTAAGAAGGGGTTTTTGTGGATATTATAGTAATTTTTAATAGTTGAAGTTATGAGTCAATTGAAGTTAGATCATTATAGAAAATCTGAAAGCACTGAACGGCCGTTTCGTCTTGTTGTAGGACTCCTTAGCAGAGCGTATTCACAACATCGCATTGTGTGATTCGAACCCAGGACCAATCGATCTCGCACACGAACGTTAAACCTCTAGACCACTGAGCCAGCATCCAACGGTGTTATTGTCTAACTTCCATTGATCCATGAATGACTGTGTGACCAATTATCCATTGTCTAAGGCAGATACATCTGTTTTTACGCGACACGGATTGGACTCCACTGGTGACGGCTTCTTACTAGAACCACAAGAAATCATCTTCGAGACATTCACTAGTGAGCACATGATGAATATTATCAGAATGGGATTTGTGGAGATTATAGTAATCTTAATAGTTGAATTTATGAGTTGATGTAAGCTAAACAACCATTGAATTATGAATTGATTTATTTAGCATATGAAAATCACATTATATACTTCATGAACCAGAAGATTCACATGTTGTGTTGTGTTGTAAGTATAAGGGAGTTGTATTAGTCAGTATCAAGTTTTGTTACGGTTCAAAGATATAACCTATTGTATATTGAAATTGATTATGATGTATTGTGTATATGATGCTATTTACAACTATTATTATTACTATTATTATTATTACTGTTATTGTTATTATTATTATTAGTAGTAGTAACGGCTTTATTCAATATTATATTTTCGGTACAAGATAGAGTTCTCAGCTCAAAGTATTTCAACAAGTTTCCCATTTCTTATTTCTTAATCGATTTTGACACCAGTTAAATATTAGCTATTCAAGAATCAGAATGGGTTATATGGAGATTTTTAGAAATTTCACAGGTTGAAATCATGAGTCAAGTGAAGCTAGACCACCATGGAAAACATGAAAGCACTGGACGGCCGGTTCGTCCTAGTATAGGACTCCTCAGCAGTGCGCATCCACGGTCTCGCACCCCACGGGATTCGAACCCAGGACCTACTGGTTTCGCGCGCGAGCACTTCACCACTAGACCACTGATAATAATCAACTGTTCACTAGTGACTGACTTCAGGAGATACTTTTGGAATTCTAGTAAGAAGTAGTTATCAGTGGAGTTCAACCAGGTCTGTTGTGAGATAGTAACTCACTGAAGACAATGGTGTACGGTGGCACAACTTCGTGGATTGGTTGAAGTTAGACATTAACACCGTTGGATGCCGGCTCAGTGGTTTAGAGGTTAAGGAATCGCGCAGGAGACTGATAGGTCCTGGGTTGAAACCTCGCCAGGCGGGATCGTGGTTGCACACTATTAAGGAGTTCTATACTAGAATGAAACGGCCGTCTAGTGCTTCCAGGTTTTTCATTGTGATCTAGCTTCAATTAACTCATGATTTCAACCTATTCAAGAATCAACATCTAAATAATAATCATTCAATTCAATACATATTGCTAGCAACCAAAATGTCATTGATTAGGCTTTTATTTCTGAAAATTATACAATGAAATGTCATCAACTCTTTATAAATGTACATGAATAAGTTATGCAATAAATATTGACATCATGATATGTATTAAAAACAAATAAAAGAAACAAATCACTTGTTCAAATATCTCAGTATAGGATTATGGTGATTGTTAAGTTATGAACTGAGATCATAAATCGATTGATAATGATCTAATATCAATCCACTGATGATCTTAATCAATAAAACGAAACAATTTCAATAGTATAGTTTTCTTTCTTTTTTTTTTCTTATTAAATGAACAAAACGTAATACAAAACGAATTGAATATATACTTTAATTTTGTTAAATTTATAAAACATTTATTCCTGATAAGGGGGGGGGAGTGAGGTTATTCATATTTAATTTGATATAAAATACACTCATGACATGAGGAGGGAGGTTATCCATATTTAATTTAATATAAATACATTCATGGAGGGAGGGGGAGGTTATTCATATTGAAGTTAATATAAAATACATTCATGATGTGGGGAGGGAGGTTATTCATATTTAATATAGTATAGAATACATTCATTAAGGGAGGGGGGGAAGTTATTCATATTATTTATGATTACGTTAAGGTGCATTTGATTTTAGACTAATTCACTAATATTTTTTTTAAAATTTTTTCATTAAGATTTGTAATGATTACGTAATAAGATCGTAACTTATTAATTTAACAGTAATAATAATAATAATAATTATATAATGAAATTATTCAAAATGTCAATGGTTATCGTTCGGCAACTAAATTGAAGAAGAAGAAGAAAAAAAGAAAGAAAGAAAAGAAAAGAGAAGAAATTTCATTTGTTAAAGGTTTTTAATTAGTTTCTACATTTATACAATAAAGTGCAAATCTATTTATTTATATATTTGTATCAATAAAGTTAATATATATACTCTTATTTATTGAATTACATTTTAGATGTAAGAAGAAGACCCTGGAATTTGAACATTTTTCTAATGAATTGCTGTATAATTTGAATTTATTTGTTTAAACGTATAAACATTTGTATAAGGAGGCACCAAATACATATGCGCCACATATATCTTATTCAATTTGTGTGAGGGCTGGGATATAGATCGTGTGGCCAGACGGAAGCAGGTGATTTTCTTAGAGGGTTAGACCGAGAGCCTTCGACCTAAATATCTAATCCATAAGGCAGTGGAACAGCGTCAGGAGATGCAGTCTCATGGAAGTCAGTGACCAACATTAGGTTCATATTCAGTTTGTTTCCTTCAAGATCCTGGAGCCTATGTACATCATTGGTTTTGAATCCGAGTTTTCCAACTTCCCTAACTGAAATGCTTCATATCGATCAACGCGGTTAAAGCACCGGACATTTGCCTTTTCATCCTCTCAATTTTCTAAACAACAGTAATGCTGTGAGAAAACAAAGAGTAGGACTTGGAGTGGCTGTATACACGTGGTCATATGAGAGCATTTTGAGAGGGAGAGTTGGCTCTCCCCACTCTCTGCCGTACCAGGGCATTTTGGGTCCTAGTAATGATTGGTTCGTTCAATCGTGAATAAGGGTGGTTTGAAAAAAACAACAACGGTATAATGACTCTGTGATGAATATCGTTAAATTTAACCTTTGAACAATGCATATTGTGTTGTTAATGATTTATTTTTTATCAAAAATGGGGTTTATGGAGATCGCAGTAATTTTAATAATTGACTTCATGGAAAACCTAAAGGGATTGGTAGAGACATGTATCTACCTCAGACAATGCATGAATGGCTACACAGTCATTTATTGATCGATGAAAGTTAGACATTAACACCATTGGTGGTCTAGAGGTTAATTGTTTGCGCGCGAGACTAAAGGTCTCGGGTTGGATTGTGATTGCGCACTGTTGAGTAGTCTCATACTAGGATGAAATGGCCTTTCAGTGCCTCTAGGTTTTCAATGGTGGTCTAGCCTAAAACGACTCATGAATTCAACTATTAAAAAGATAATTTACTTGTCAATTTCTATTTGCACACTTCCAGTAATTATAGCGGTTGATTAAAATAATAATATTTATCTAGATAAATATGATCCATTTCAAAAGGATTTATAGATTTATAGAGGCCATGAAGAATTAATAAACGGATGTAAAA